CGCCCCTGCCCCCCTCCGTCGGCGCGTCCTGCCCCGGGCCCCCGGGGGGGCCGCCCATTCAGATCAAGGAGGAGCCCCTGGATGAGACGGAGGAGCCCGAGAGCCCCCCCCCGCCCCAAAGGAGCCCGTCTCCCGAGCCCACCGTGGTCAACACGCCCAGCCACGCCAGCCAGTCGGCAAGGTAGGTTCAGGAGCCGGCTCTGGGGTGGGGGGTCTCCAGGTTTTTAACGAGGTTTTCTGACTTGTTTTTTTCGGGGTGTGCGCCCTTCAGGCTTTGCCAGCCAGCTGTTTTGCTCTTGTTGCTGGAGGTGTTCTGTCCCCTTTCTTTCTCCGCTCAAAAACATCTCATCCCGGAGGAATAAGCTCTCGAGTACGTCAGTAGCGAAGCAAGCACCGAGTGATGCGCGTGAAAAGGTTTTCTCATCGTTAACCTCGGTGTAACTATCCCTTTTCTGTATTCCGCTGAGTTTCTCAGTTGTTTTGATACACTTCTATCTGTAAGCGGCCACTCTGCTCAATTGAACATGAATGGGGAAGGAGGCAAAGCCCAGTTTGTTTGGATGTGCAGGCAGGACTAGTCTGAAGGGAGCACCCATCCTCCTCCCGGCTGGGGCCTCAAGCTCATGAATCGCACACAAGGCGGCCGCTTGAGGTGGGGATTGACATTGAAAAGACAGCTTTTGTTTCAGTTCAGTTTTCCTTCTGTCCGTTCCTGGTTTGCCTCTCCAGATCGAATCTGGAAATAAACACACAAAAATAAGGGGTGAAAGGGACTTAAATTGATACCCCTACATAGAGTTAAAGACTTTATGGAGCAATTGCATATTTACTGCAGTGAAGTACCTTCCTAAAGTCCAACAACAACGTCCCACCTGGGATGTGAATCCACAGCCTTCTTAAAATCTAATCACAAGCTCAGCTGTGACCCATCATACATGATGTGTTAGCCTGGGCTAGTCTGCTTCAGCGTTTTCTTTCCTAAACCCTTGCAGTTTGTGTGCTTTGTATGGCGTGGCTCCTTAGTGATTCATACTGGCTTCTTGTTTTTAAACGTCTGGTCTCGAATAGACCCAAGCACGTGCAAGCCCTCTAACACTGACTTAGTATTTCTGCGCTGTGTGAGAACCCTTCCTTTATGTGACCTCCCTGTGCTGTCAGCTTTCCTAAGGAAAACTGAAGGTTGGAAGGATGTAATGGAGGTATAAGGGTATGTTCTGTCAGCTTTATTTTCCAGAGGAAAGATGACCAAATTATGGAGTTGTGTGCTTGATGGGCTTGTGTTTGCTCAGTGTGATCAACCTTCAAGATTCATGGAGTCTTCTGCACTGCGGTTCATCCGCATCCTTCTGAGAAACGGATTGATTGTTTCTGAACTTTCTCTCCCCATTTTTAGTCTCTTGACAACCTCATAAACAATGGAAAGTTACTGTGCTGTAACCGAGTAGCACGGAGATGAATGGTTTGGATGTTATTTCAGGGATCCTTAATGGATTCAGCTATCTTGAGTGCTAGATTTGGATTTAAATGCATAAAAAATTACATTGTGGAGCCAAACAGTAAAATAACAAGTGTGCTTTTACTGCTGGAATTTATATAGAACAAAAGATTAATTATAGTATTATTCCACTGATTGATTCCTATGGAATATGAATGTTTTGTCAAGTCTGGGTGGCTGATATCCCTTAAGTGCTGGAGAGACTAGTAATGAATACTAATAAACTCCTAAGTGCAAGGAGACAAAGCGTATTGCGGAGACCGTAGTGTAGAGACTGATTGGTTTTCAGCTTAAATAACGAGGTAACATACCTAAGGTTATTTTATTTATTTTAAAGTAATTGCATTTAAAATTTTAAATGCATACGGAGCCCTTGGAGAACCTTATTCACATGGTGAGCCGCGGTACTTTTCAGCGGGCCGTGAGGGGACATTTAAATGCAAGCCTTAATCCAGGAACAGGGCAGGTCAGGAGCGCTTGGGCATAGGAAAGGGTGCAGGAGGTGGCGGCTGGTCTCAGGTGACTTGCCTTAGTCCACCCTTGTGCTCGCGGTCATCTAAAGAATATCGGCCTCGCATTATTAAGCGGAGTGGTGACCCGATCGCTGAGGAGAGGTTTCAGTACCAGATGGTTCCCCGTTTCTCCCCGATCCCGAAAAACGAGGGACCTCTGTCGCGCGCGTCGGGTCTGCATTCCGGAGATCCCGGGAAGGGAAGGGGCATTGCTTTAACGGGGCGCCTCCCTGCCTTCCAGGTTCTACAAGCACCTGGACCGGGGGTACAACTCCTGCGCCCGGTCAGACCTGTACTTCACGCCCCTGGCGGCATCCAAGCTGGCGAAGAAGAGGGAGGAGGCGCTGGAGCGGGCGAAGCGGGAGGCGGAGCAGAAGGCCCGGGAGGAGAAGGAGAAGGAGCGGGAGAAGGAGAAGGAGCGCGAGAGGGAGCGCGAGAGGGAGAGGGAGGTGGAGAGAGCTGCCGTACGTATCTTCCTTTCCTCCTTCCCTAACTCCCCCGCGGGCGCGGCTTGGAAGCGGCAGCTCGCCAGCGGCGAGAAGCCGTTGGTCTGCGTCCCGCTGCCCGTCGTCATTTCCGTTTTGCCTGTTTGTCGGAGCCCTGTTTTCTTTCATTTTCCCCCAGCGCGATACCGATCGGTAACTTTGCAGGTAACTTAACGCCCTGGTTGCCGTCAAGGCATTGCCTTCACGCCGTACTGAACGGCTGTAGCTGGGCGGCCTGCAGCGGTAGTCCTCCGCCGGGAAGCTCGCGGTGTCTGATGGCGGCGTGTCCGTCTTGTCCCCTGTTCTCCCCGCAGAAGGCCTCCAGCTCTTCCCACGAGGGCCGGATGGGCGACGCCCCCATGGCCGGTCCGGCCCACCTGCGGCCGCCCTTCGAGCCGCCGCCCACGACCATCGCCGCCGTGCCGCCCTACATCGGCCCCGACACGCCCGCGCTGCGCACGCTCAGCGAGTACGCCCGGCCCCACGTCATGTCGCCCACCAACCGCAACCACCCCTTCTTCGTGTCGCTCAACCCCGCCGACCCCCTCCTCGCCTACCACATGCCCGGCCTCTACAACGCGGACCCCGGCATGCGCGAGCGGGAGCTGCGCGAGCGCGAGATCCGGGAGCGCGAGATCCGGGAGCGCGAGCTGCGCGAGAGGATGAAGCCCGGGTTCGAGGTCAAGCCCCCCGAGCTGGACAGTCTGCACCCCGCCGCCAACCCCATGGAGCACTTTGCCCGGCACGGGGCCATCACCCTCCCCCCCATGGCGGGTCCGCACCCCTTCGCCTCCTTCCACCCGGGCTTGAACCCTCTGGAGAGGGAGAGACTGGCGCTGGCCGGCCCCCAGCTGCGGCCGGAGATGAGCTACCCCGACAGACTGGCGGCCGAGAGGCTGCACGCCGAGCGCATGGCCTCCGTGGCCAACGACCCCATCGCCCGGTTGCAGATGTTCAACGTCACCCCCCACCACCACCAGCACTCGCACATCCACTCGCACCTGCACCTGCACCAGCAGGACCCGCTGCATCAAGGTGAGGGCACTGACTCCCCAGCACGGATCAGAGCGGGAAAGCAGCACATGGTTCAGAAATGTGGGACCTGCTCCCCCATAACCAGGCACTTTGAGGGTTAGTTCCTAAGCTTACATTTTTGATTCTGGTGACTCTTTGTTTCTTTTTATTTATATTTATTTTTTTTTGTCCTTGGCGATGATACATCCTGAGCGGTGAGCGGTGTCACGCGCGTGAAGGCGACGTGGGGGGGGTGGCTCCTCTTATCAAAGCAAAAAGCCTTCCGTAGCGGGGAGGAAGGCGACTCCAAAAAAAAAAAAAAAAAAAGTCGGCACTGGTAATGGACCTCGAAGAGCCTGGTTTGAGGAGAGCTTGCTGTGGGAGAGGAGGGTGGGGGGGAGGGTTCTGGTTTCCCAGTCCCTCGGGCTGTTTAAACCTGCAACTCTGCAATAGAGGAAGCCGGAGATGCGCCTGTGGTCGGTTTGCATCTGACCGGCATGATCAAGTGTGCGTCAGTGCTTTTTTTTTTAGAATGGTTTTGCCTCACAGCACCTCGGTGAAACTGTCCAGCTCTCCTAAAAACCGTAGAGATGCTTCGGTGTTTTTAAACGGCTCGTCCGTGCTTCATGCAAGATGTGTGTAATGGATGATAACCCTGCTTACCTTTGCCACCTCCGTTCACGGTGGGGGTGTTTATGCATCGACTCCTTCATTAATTCAGCTTATAAAAACTGTACTCATCTGATTAACGTATGTACCAGTCTTTGACAGTTACACTGTATCTCAGATCATGTTCTTTTGTATTCCTTGTGCTTGTACTTGCATGTGTTCTCTTGGTGCGGTTTCTGTTCAGGAGACGGTGTCCGTGTCTGGTACCGATGGCTCTTGGGGAGTTAATTGAAGAGTCTGTCCTAAGCGAGTGAGAGCCGATGGGACAGGCAGTCGGTCCTGCTGTCTGCCGCTGTGTGTGTGGGGTTCTGTGCAGCGTGGATCCCGGCGCTCTGTACTGACCCGGCTGTGCTGTGTGCTGCAGGTTCTGGTGCTCACCCCCTGGTGGACCCCCTGGCAGCAGGACCCCACCTGGCCCGCTTCCCCTACCCTCCCGGAACCATCCCCAACCCGCTGCTGGGGCAGCCTCCCCACGAGCATGAGATGCTCCGGCATCCTGTGTTTGGTAAGGACATGCGTGCTGTTTCATTGTTTTAGCTACCCGTTAAAGCAGATGTGCTCAGAGCTTGGACTTGGTGAGTGTTTTGGGCTGAATTGGCTCAGGTGGCTGTGCAGCTCGACCCGGCCTCCCTCCCAGGACTCCCCGGCTACAGAGCCCACGAGCCCCCAGAACAGCTGGCTCTGCCCCAGTTCCTCCGCTTCGTTTCTCTCTCTCCGAGGGATGATCTCCTCCGCAAGCTTTGAGCCTCGTCTGCTGCAGCTCGTCTTGAGATCTTACACCCACCCCGAAGTGGATGTGTAAAATAGAAATAACTGTTCCTGTGTTGCGGAGGGAGCTGGGACTTTGTTAATGAATATGGGAAGTGATGCTTTTTCCCTCCCTACGTAGTTGAGAACTTTCTAGGAGAGTTTAAGACACTTCATCGGAAAAAGAGTCCATTTCCACCTAGTATGATGTCCCCTCAAACATTTCGTAATATCTCTGGAAGTTTATACAGTAGAAGCCTGGTTTATGACTTAAATGAAAGATAATCCTGCTGGTATAAAAGACCCCTCACATCATGCGTGGCACAGTTTAAACTATACTTTCACCCAGTGATAAACCTCTATTAATGTACTCTTTCATCCTTTATGGGTGACTTTTCCAAAAGGCTTTTTTTTCCCGCGTCTCTCCGCAGGCACCCCGTATCCCCGAGACCTGCCGGGAGCGCTGCCGCCCCCCATGTCTGCGGCCCACCAGCTGCAGGCCATGCATGCCCAGTCCGCGGAGCTGCAGAGGCTGGCCATGGAGCAGCAGTGGCTCCACGGCCACCACCACGTGCACGGGGGGCCCCTGCCCGGCCAGGAGGACTACTACAGGTGAGGCCAGCCTGCGGACAGCGGAGGAGAGCAGTTCTTACAGTGCACAGTGCACCAGGCAGCACCACACGATGTAGACAGTCCGTTACAAACATCATAAATAATCATTCCTCACACCTGTTATAGCGCCTTTCTGGACACTCCACTCAAAGCACTTTACAGGTCGTGGGGATCCCCTCCACCACCCCCAGTGTGCAGCCCCACCTGGGTTATGTGACGGCAGCCATAGTGCGCCAGAACGCTCCCCACACCCCAGCTCTCAGTGGGGAGGAGAGCAGAGTGATGTCGCCAGTTCAGAGACGGGGGTTATTAGGAGGCCATGATGGGTAAAGGGCAGGGGAAGATTTGGTCAGAGCGCCAGGGGTAACATCCCTACTATTTCGAGAAACACCCTGGGGTTTTTAATGACCATGGAGAGTCAGGACCTCGGTTATATGTCTCACCCGAAGAACAGCGCCTCGTTACAGTATAGTGTCGCCGTCACTGGCTGTGCTTGGGCCTGTGTTCAAGGAACCGTGTCTTCTGTGCGTTCAGATGTCAGCCTTCAGGATGGCCACGGAGCAGGCACTAAACGTTTCGCTGTAACCGTCTGTTTTTGTTCCAGCCGCCTGAAGAAAGAAAGTGACAAGCAGCTGTAATCGGCGAGGGAAGGCGGTGCCGTGAGTGTGGGACACACCTTTATGGACAAGGTTCTGTGGAAGGATCTCCAGTCAATATCCTATGAACAATTTAAATTAAGAAGAAAAAAAAAAGATTGACAGATCTTCTGAAGATTTTTTGATCTTTTTTCGGTTTTTTATTTTTTTTTAACAGAAACAGGACTTTATTTCATATACGATATTCATTGAGTAAAGACACTTTCTCAAGACTGGTTGCGACTCCCTGCATGACGATATTTGGAGAACCTCCTGGCAGTTCTTGTAGGTGCTAGAATACAAGTCACTTTGTCACTGTGCTTAACGAAAGAAAAAAATAAAAAAGCAGTTAGGCAGTATATCCTAAATCTTCAAGTGCTATCTAAAATTCAACAGTTATTTTAATACATTGTAGGAAGTTTTTCATAATTTTAAAGAGAGCTCAATTCTGCAGCATGGCTTTTTTTGAGTCTGTAAATAAAAATATAAATATATATTATTATTATTGTTATTATTATTAGGTGTGGACTCCTAACCAAGGTGTTAGACCTCAAATATTATTGTTCTAAAGCATTATCCCTTTGTTTCAAAGGGGAGCACGATGGCATTATTTCAGCAGGAAAAATGGTTTCTGAAGCTGTTGGTGTGCAGTAGAGGGTTACAGGCATAACGGTACAGTACGTCTTGATCAACAACTCTGTAAATTATTTTTTAAATTGTTTTCCTGTCATCCTTAAAGACGTCATGCTTTGCAGTCAAAAATGCAGGTTTTTTTCCATTGTACATGACTGCCATCCTTTGTATTCATTTCCAAACAACCCAAGCACATGTTCATGTCTTCTTTTACATCTTTAACGTTCTGTGAGAGTCGAGGAGGGCAGGTTTCCAGCTGGAACTCGCTCCGAGAGGCTCATGGGAAGGTTGTCAGGAGGGGTGAATTGCACTGACAGGCCACGCAGTCTGTGGTTCGGATCTTTATGAAGTGGTCATAGACGGAATGCAGAATTGGGTTTACAAAAAGAAAATGCACTTTTAAATTGTCTGCGATTTGATACCTTGCTTGGAGATATTCCCAGTACCAAAGTTGTTTTTTTTAAAAAAAGAAATCCATCAGATTATTTAGGTTATTAATAGGTTATTTTAAGGAAAGGAGCAAAGAATTATTTTTAAGGCTAGTCATCCTTCAGTCCCTTTTCAGCGAGGGAGAAGGTGAGTAGTGGAATGTGAAGTCAAGATCTCTTCACAAAGCAGATCCATTACAACTTAACTTCATTTCAGTCTGTCGGCTTTGGTCTCATGGCATTTCTTTGTGTTGTACTGTGATTCTTTAAAGACTACGGTGAGGACCTTTTCTTTCCTAGAAGTAGGTTTTAATCCCCTCTGGGTGTCCCCAGCTCCAGGGTTCCCCCCAGAAGAGCCCCTCGGGCACCCTGCTGGCTGGTGGGAGGGGCAGTGATGATGTGGGCGGTTGAGTGAATGTAGGCTCAGTGGATCAGCGGGGGCGGCAGCATGGGCTGGCGGAGAGACTCGAGTCTCGGGTTTGTGGGTCTGGGGGCCTGAGAGTTCCCGAGGCGCAGGGCTGACCAGGGCTCTCGCGTCTTCGGAGTCGAGGGCTTTATTTGCCGTTGTAGGCTTCTTAGGTTTCAGTGTGATCGCTTTCACGTGACTTAACGTCAGAACGTGTAGAATAATTCATGGGCCGTTGCCCTGTTTTTTGTTTTGTTTTGTTCCCGTTCCAGTTGTTCGTTTTTGAGCCCCTCTGGGTGATTTTCATGAACATCAGAAATGTTTATTAACCCCCAAGGGAATTGTGTGCATCTCTGACTTCCTCAGTGGAAAAGACCAACCCGAAGGTCGTTCTTGAGTCAGTCTGAACACTACCTAGATTCTTGAAAGACCTGGGCAAGAGATGCACGCCCGTCTGATTTTTACGTTTTACAACTATTTTTCCTCACAGAATGGAGAAGCTGTGAGTTGATGAGCGCTACATCCTGAATTTTACATGGCCACTTCCCTGTCACTGTGTCCAGTACCATGAATTGGCATCAGATTTCAGTTCGTTTTTTTTTTTGCTTCCGTGTATCAAACCTATGATGTTAAGTGTTGTCAATGGTTTAGCTTCTTGTTTCAAACTGGCAATAGCAGAATGTAAATTCTGACTGCTAAATTTATATATATAATGGTATCTTGAAGCTTATTGTATATATGAGTAGTTTGCCATGGGATAACACAATGTAAACAAAGTAGAAACAATTAAAACAATTGTGAGTCCTGTGTTTTCTCCATTTGAGTATTTTGTAATTTTTTTGAAAAATTTGTGGAATTAAAAATAAACTTAAGTTACACCACAGCACATCTGGGCTTCCCATGTGTTTTTGCTTTTTGTACCCTGGCTGGATTTTGACAATACTATTCAAGGTGTTTAAAAGAACTTGATTTCCCCACTACCTGCACGCTGGCAGAAGTGCCTTCAACTGTGTTGCTGCATGTGAAGCAGCCACTTGTGAACCAGATTGTCATCCTTCATCTCCATCAATGCTATTTCCTGTTTCTGCAAGTGCTATATTTTTAAACTCTCTGTATTATTTTTTTTTTGTCCGAGGGGCTTTGATTTCTTGTTTTTCCTAGCAAGGGGGGGCTTTGGGATTTCTTGTAAATGTTATCCAAAAAACAAGTGTAAGTAATGATTACCGGTGCTCCCTAAAAGTCTTAAGATGAGTGAGTGTTCAATAAACTTTTAAGAGCCATCTCTGTCAGCAAAAACTATTACACTATTGTTGGAGACAATTGTTTGCAACATGTCTGTGTTATATGCGATATCCCCAGTTCTTCAGCTTGTGGAACAGGTGATCTAGATTGCTGTGTACAGTAGTTAAATTAAGGGCATGCTCATTTACCAACAGCACGACTCGGGATTTTACCATGTAAGGATTAAATCAAAGCATTTCACACTCGTGGATGCCATCTCTAGGGTACAGCAGAGGGATTAATGGCAATCCAAGGATTGTAAAACATCAGAATCCTTTATAGACGGGGAGAGGCTTTGTTTTCCATGGTAACATTTGTTACAAACAAGTCATGCAGCTGAGTAATCTGGAGGTTTCAGGCGGGGGGAACAATTTACAGTACTTGAACTCTATATCAAAAACAAACTTGGATCCAGCTGGCCCTCTAGCCAGGAGAGAAGATAAAACTTAAATCCAGAAGAATTTGCTAATGCACAATGAAAATGGAGCCGTTTCAAGTTTCACATCAATAGCTCTTTTTTTTATCGCTGGAGATGGAATTTTTCCTTAGGATAACAATAATGAGCTTAAGTCATATGACTTCATAAAAAACAGGTTTGCAATATTTGATATTATACATTTTCCAAAATGAGCTCATGGACAATCTACAGAAATCGCCCTTTGAGAAGGGATGCTTTCCACTCATGCCAGAACAGAAGACGACCTGACCGTGCCTTGCTTCGAGTTACCTGGTAACATCTGGCTTCAACAGCTGGCGATCGAGTCTGGATAGACCAGCCTTGATGGAGGGGGGCAGGGGTCACGCCTGGGAGTGAAAATGCTCTTTCTTGGGGGGCCAGTGAGAGTGGCTGACATAGCCGAGTTTCCTAGCAGCAACTTCTGAGTGGGTTAGGACCTCCCAACGAACTGCCACTGAGCTGCAAATACATTTCACCCTTTATTGTTGTAGTCAGCCATTTAAAATCTCTTCCACCTTCACTGGGCCCTGTGTGTCTTTGTGTGGGTGGGGGGGGGGATCTTGCATTTATTTTACGAGCCAGAGCTGACCACGTGGTCAGACCGCATGTTCGAGGCCTGGAAGAGGGAACCAAAGACCCGCGTGAGCGCAAGAAGAACATGCAAACTCCACACAGAAGGCGCTCCAGTCCACAGTCCACAGTGGCACCCGGGGCCCGTGAAAAAAGCAGCAGAGCTACGCACACGACACAAACCCGTGTTTCTGAGAGAAGTGCGTGTTTTTCCTTCAAGTCCAGGGTCCTGGCGGAGAGGAACGGAGCCGCGCCGCCGACGGTCTTGTAGCGGCGCCGGTGAACAAGTTATGGTCACAACTTGAACATCGTTGAAAGAGTCAAAAAGCGGTAATTTTAGCGATTAAGATTTAATATGCCTCAGATTTGTCAATGTTTCTTTTTCTACGGATGCGAATTTGATAACGACCCCGTCCCCCCTTGTCTTGCGCCGGACGTTTCGGTAAAGCGGTGAGTCTTTTTTGTTTTACTCCCTGTTTCATTATATTATATTCGAGTAAGATGTTCATTTAAAAAAAAAATGTGTTTACCAAATACGTGAAGGCCTTTTTTTTTAAAAAAAGGCGGTAAAATCGCTTTTTCGGACGGCTGGTTAATCCGGACTGCGGCCTGCACCCCCCTGCAGGGCTGGAGACTAACAGGCGGTATTTTCCCCCCACAAAAATCGGTCTAAACTGTAGAATTAAACACGATTTTGAAAAAACTTGAGGGAAAAAGCATTTTAAAAAATAAGAAACTTGGGTTGTTTTGGAATAAAAGCACCAGTATTCGGGCCTCGCTGAAGTTTCTCGTTTGGAAGCGGACTGTCGGCGGTTCATCAACATGGCGGCGCTCAAGGTTCGTAGTTTCGCCTGTTTGATGGGGTCGTCAATGTGATGAAATTACCTGATAAAACGGAGGTGGCGGCGTGTCGTAGCAAATTCATTGCCTTATTGCCCAGTTTGAGACGTACTGCTTATAGTTTTATATTTAATGAGCCACGGTAATGGCGGTCTATACAAACTGGAGGCTAATTGATGAAATGCAAGGCGGTTGTAGGACGGAGCTGTCCAATACAAGCCTAAATGGTTCATCATAATAATATTAATTTACCCATTTAAATTCTAATTAACAAAAAGAAACCGTATACTATTATTGCGAGGGAAAAAATCTTTCAAATAGTTGTGCACAGCACTGCAAGCACTGTCCTCGGTGTGCAAGGTTTTAAAACCTTAGATCACTACACACGTCAACGGCAAAGTGCAAGAAATCTGCGGGGATTGTCTTAAATGTACCATAAAATGACAAAAGTACCATGGTTGGACTCCATCCATTTGCAGTTTTGACCTGTCTGGGCATATTTTTTTTATTTTTATTTGTTGACAGTCCACGATCTGCTGTGCTCAGTAGCTTTTTCTCGCTCTGGTACGATTTAAAAATTTGTCAGAGGTGTAATACGGGTGTGTCTACCGATACAGCCCACCAGCTTTTTATGGCTTGAAGGGGGTTTTTCCGAACAGCGGGTGAATATAGGTACTGTACATATTTGCTTTCACACATAGAGAGTCACCTGGAGCGCGAATGAGCAAACCGCACTTCCAGTCCAATTCCTTGACCTGTGTCATCGAGAAAGACAGGGAGGTGTGTTCGCTGTACGTCCCTGCGATAATGCTGTTTGAACGTTTTTTACTTCTGATGCTATTGCCTTGCAAAAGATGGACGAGTCGAACTGTAGATTCCCCCAAATTCAGGTAAACAAAGAAGGGTTACTTATAGTAAGTGTGTCTGTGTCTCTCTTGCTGAGAAAGGCTCCGGCTGCATCCTGTATTGGATAATGTGGTTGAAAATGAATGAAAGGTTACGTACAGTACTGGAAAATAGGTGGACTTTGAAGGGTGGAAATGGCTCATCTTTGTTATGTTTTTATGTTCTATTGCGTCTAAAACCTTAATTGTCCAATCACCAGTGTTCAAAGGTGACCCTGATTACAATAGTGTCCTTTAATGGTGTGACTCTGAACCTAATTTTTGTCTTTGTATTATGTTCTGCTGCTATGTATAATTCTTGTGCTAGATGGGCCGGGAACGAAATGCACATTTACTGTACATAACACAGTCTTTCTTCTACAGTTGGTGTCAGCGCCGGAAAAAAAAAAAAGAGATCTGTTCATGACAAGCACGGATAATTACGCTGGGTATGGCATTATATCTTTAAAAAATTAAAAACCAGCAGCCTGCGTTGCAATTATGCAAGGATTTAAAGTAAGCAACTTGACTTTCCTATTAAATTGGGCTGCACGTTGAGGTTCATTAATTAAGTCCAGTGTTTGGAATGAGAGAATACTTGTTTGTGTACAGTATTTATTAAAAAGGACACTTCAAATAAGAGCTGGTCTTTAATTAAAGAGTGCTGCTGTGGTCTATGGTGGTTTAGAAACCATTGGTGTTTCATACTGATAAAGGGAAGCGAGGAGTGTGTGGTCCCACTGGAGCACGAGATTCAAGAGGCAGTCTGTCATATCTCAGGCTTTTTATCTCCTTTTCAGAGCCTTTGAAGGATTCAGTGCAGCATTTCAGAACATGTCGCTTATTGAGTGTTTGGTCTTGACTCCAGGCTAATGACACCCATTGCAGAGTAGCATCTCATTATGATGTTTTGATGAGAGGCAACATCACGAGCCTCCCGTTTCAACGCTGGCTTCTTCTTTCGATTTTCTTTTCTCATTGCGGGCTTGAAATTCATGCAACCTCAAGTGAACCATCTGGAGCAATTTCAAGTGAGCCTTTTTTAAGCCCTGTTTTGTGAGGGGGAAAAAATAAGAACACCTCGATATCCCAGTCAGTCAGGGAAAGAGGACACATTGCAGGTGTTGCTTGTTTGTTTCTTCACCCCACCTGAACTGTTTCACTTTTGTGGTTACCTTAAGTTAGCTTAATTCATCTAACTGGCAGCCCACTGGAGCTCAGCATGTGTGAGCCTGGTCAGTACCTGGATGGGAGACCTCCTGGAAAAAACTAAGGTTGCTGCTGGAAGAGGTGTTAGTGGGGCCAGCAGGGGGCGCTCACCCTGCAGTTCATGTAGGTCCTAATGCTCCAGTATAGTGATGTGGACACTGTACTGTAAACAGGCACCGTCCTTCGTATGAGACGTAAAACCGAGGTCCTGACTCTCTGTGGTCATTAAAAATCCCAGGGTGTTTCTCGAAAAGAGTAGGGGTGTAACCCTGGCCAAATTTCCCTCTGGCCCTTACCAGTCATGGCCTCCTAATAATCCCCATCTATGAATTGGCTTCATTACTCATTCATTAGAATTCACACTCCTCCTGAAACCGTTGCTGTCCAGTTTTTCCCACTACACCCGTGTGCAGTATGTCATGCTTCCAGGTCAGGGCTGGAGTCCTGAGTGCTGCCCAGGGCTGTGCTGTACTGGCGTCTGCAGTGTCCTGGGCTGGGTGCTGTGCTCCCCTGTTGGGTCTGATGGTTTTGAATGAATGGGAGGGCTCTCTAGAGGGGAAACTGGGAGCTCGAGGGTTGCGCTGGGCCAGGCCACGTGACCGGGCCCGGAGGACGCAGGCAGAAGAGCTGCGTCGCAGGAGGAGGGT